CCATCTCCACTGTGGGAATGTGCTGGATTCTCTCTTGTTCTCTCATATCTACACTACCAAAAGAATACTACCTTTGGCAAATAAGATGGAGTAATCCTTAGCTATCTGATGTGTGGTACCTTAAAAGCCATTATTTTTCATGTTTGGTCAGATAGAGGAGGGTTGTTCCAAGTGGGAGGATAAATTTCATCCCTGCTATTCCATCTTGGTTTGAAATATAATTGTTAGTTTATCTAAAGTCAGCAGAGTACAATTGAAGAGAACTTTATGTAAGGGGCCACCAGGATTGCATTTTTAATATAATATAGATAGTGAATTATTTTGCTTACCGGGGGAGTTACTGGAACCTGAGGACAGTATATTGGTGGAAGAAAAGCAACTACAATAGTTCATTGAAGAATTAGTGGTAAGGAATATCAGGGAATTGTCAGTATTGATCGGAAACCATGTTCAGAACTGCATCTGTGATGTGTGAAAAAGGAAAATAACAAGAAAAAAAATCCAGTAGGTTAAGCTTTAAAAGTAAAAACAAAGATCAAAATCCAGGTCTAATTTTTAGAAAATATTGTCCTCCCACAAGTAAAGATAAGCTAGTTTTGAAGTCATAGAGGCTTTCCACCAGAGGCAGGACCCAAAACGTGAGGGTGGCTAGGAAAGAGCTGTGACACTGGAGGAAAGTTAGAGCGGCAGCAATGCTCTGAAGAGAGGAACACTTTAGGATCCTACTGCGCTGTAAGAACAGAGCATCCAAAATGTGGTTCAGAGTTTCATTTTCAGACATCACTTTTTAAATCCTAGATTATACACAACAGTTCCTCGCTAAGGAAATTCAAGTTAGAAAAAAGTTATTTAGAAAAGTAAAGAGATTCTTCAGTGAATAATTAAACATGGATGAAGACTAATAAGTTAGGAATTAAATTGTTTTAATAAGGCTAACGCTTAATATACATAATAGTAAGTAAACCTATACTTTAATTGTTTACATATATAGGCAAGTTACTAATTTCATGAAATTATTTAAATCTTTCTTCTTTTAGTAAACATTTAAAAATAGAGTATAAATTCCATGAGAGCATGGACTTTACCTAACATTCTAAATCACTCGCTTTTAGCTTCTTGCATAGTAGTTACTCAGTGCACATTTGTGTAGCAGTAAATGTACACATGGAACGTGGGATTGGAAGTAAAGGAGCCGAGGAGATAGCTCAGTAGAATAAGTGTCTGCCTGGCAAGCACAGGGTCCTGAGTTCAATCCCCAGTACCGCAAAAAAAAAAAAAAAAAAAAAAAAAGTAAAGGAGTAGAGCAACAAGCAAAAATAATGCCAGTGTATATTTCTTCCTTTACCCCAGCAATTGCGGTTTGGGCAATACGTATCCAGATGAAGAAATGCCTGAACCTTAGCTTAATGTCAAAACGTGAACCTTCAAGATCAGTTTAATAGGGAAGAGAAAGGATATGCATTTGATGGATTTGTCCTTATTGTTTTGAAGATGGACACAGATCCTGTACTTTATGCAAATTCTTTAGTTATGTCTTTAGATTTTTGCTATTAGCTGTTAGTGGTTTCAGTTCTCTTTCAGTCAGAAAAGCAGCAGGATCTTGATTAATCAGGAGCGAGACCCTGATTCAGGTTCCTCCACTGTTCTGTACCACTATGTAGAACAGGTTATGGGAGATGTGACAAGATTTCATAGCTGCCTCCCAGTTCTCCATTTCTAGCAGTTGCTTATGAGCTATTAACATTCCTGGCAATGGAGTTGTTTCTTCTTCTCATTCCTTTGTATGTGGGAAACTTTTAGGAGGACCCTAGTATCATCAGTGGAAAACTGACCATACTGCCTTCCACCTACTTTGATTAGTTGCATATTTGATCAGAGCCAGCAGCTGCAGATGAGTTGAATCTTAGACAAAGCTAGGAACCCATGGAGAACATGACCCTTCCTGTTGTTTTCATAATCCTCTCCATGGAGGTATAGACAGACTTAATCTTTTTAGTAGTGAGTGCTGGTCTTTTGCAGAAAGGATAACACATAGAACAAAAGCGAGTTTCTAAAGAATTTATATTAGGTCATTATGCATTACAAACAAATTCAAAACTGACAATCCTCAGGAAAACACTAGTTTCTAATATAAGCAAGGTGGATGTTTGTATAAATCTTTTCAAGTATGTAAAATTTCCCTGGAATGTATTTCTAAAACTTACTTGCCATTAACAAGTGAGATATTTTAAAGCCATGTACTTTGGTAAATATTTTGGGACTTTCCTCCCTTTTAATTATCATGTTTATAGTTTAACAGGTTATAATTGGGATTATTCACTTAGTGGTAATTATTAAAGTATTTTAATTTTAAAATTCATCTCTAGTCTCTTTTCTTTTTTTCCCTATTTTTGAACAGTAGTTCAAGAGAAATTCCAGTTAAGATCTGTGCAATCTTTCCTTCCTTTCCAATTGTTTTTGAGATCCTTGCTTTACCAGAAAGTTCTGATTACAAACATAAATTCATATTTTATATTTCTGTCTTGTATAGCTGGAAGTCTTTATGAAAATAATGTTTTGATTTTCCTTAAGTTTTGGGGACAGAGAAGTTATGTTTATTTGTTGTTTTATTCTCAGATTCATTTGCTCATTCATTCTTGCATGCATAGATTCACACACTATTCATACATTAAGCATACATTTACTAATGCCTTTCTCCATTATCTACTGCACTAGTTCTAGAAGCATGTGATGAAAACTGAGGTGTGTGTAAAGTGCACAATTCATCTTGGGTTTGTGGGAAGCTGGGTGGTGTGGGGTCCCCATATCTCCCAGATCACTACCCACTACTACAACAACTATAGTCACTGCGAGCTGCCAAACAAGTAATCAGCATTACCACCTTACCCTTGAGGCTAAAAAAGGAATTCCTGGTGTCAAGGAGCAAAAACTAAGATACTAAATACCTGTTCCATGTTATACCTAAGATGTTTGATATTCAGACAGATAGTGAGGTTAAGCTTAACAGCCTAGGTTGTATTATAATAACAATAAGCTTCTATTCTGGATGGTTAACAACCTAAGTTTGCAGACCAAAATTAGAGAAAAAGGAGGGCCGCAAAGAAAGCCAACATTTTGGCCCTAGCCTTTCAAGGTCAATTA